CTGACCAATGTTGGATTCAGCCCTGCCCGATAAACTCGACCCTCGAAAAAGAAACGTGTAACTCCGTGGTAATGGAAAAGCACATTTTCATGCTTTATGAGGCAACGTATGAGCATGTACCACAGCCAGGTTGTCTTCCCTAGTCTTTATGAGCACCAATCCATATAGGAGGTAACAGTACACACCTGTTCCTGGCTGGCCAGTGAGAACAATGCCTTTCTCTTGATCCTCCCTCCTGAATATGAAGATTCTCTCTGCCAGCCTTCGATAGAAAGGTAAAACATATAGGCAGCCACAAGTTTCTGTGAGTTCGGACAATCTGTGGTTGGGGTCATCGAGACCCTGCTTGTTTGTGGCAAGGGCAACAACGGACTGCTGGACCTCGATGTCGGATGATTGGTTGGTCCAGAACACATAGAAATTCCACCAGTCATCCACATGCTCAAGCTGCCAACCGAAGGCACCAGGGTCTGTATGAAAGTATGCCCCTGTTTCTGTGGGAAAAAGTACTGGCCTCTCCTGGAGTTGTCGTTGTCGTTGTCGTTGTAATGCCTGAGGGGATTCTTCTTCACTAGGACGCGAGCGTTTGGCCGGAATGCCTGCTGTACATATAGATTAGCCAAAGTGCAAGGAACCGGCCAAATCTTGTGGACGGGCAGAGAACAAAATACGTACTTGATTCAGCCAGAGCAATGATATCTATCATGTCCTTATCCTCTGGCGTGGGTCCCTCAGGGAAATACTTGCTCAGACGACGTGCAGGCTGCATTGGATTACGCGGTGGATCTTTGCGAAGCCAATCCCAGGCACGTTCACGAAGTTTCTCTGATGGCTCAATATCTAGATTGTCAGGCTGCACGCCGACCTGCATATAGATAATCAGTATGACAAAAAATAGGACATGTTGGAGAAAGACCTTGTATAGCGTTAGCGTCGAGTGCTTCAGGGCATCTTCGTAGCTCGGATGGGCACGAATGTCTTGCCACAAGTCAGCAACGTCTGCCTCCTCCTGCTTGCGAAAGGGCCAAGCTTCTGCCTTATCATTGTAAAGCAGGCAGACCACATAGCGGCGAGTGTTTGGACTTGAAGTCGAAGAAGACATGGTGGTGGGTGAGAGACAACACGCATGACATGACCAAGTTGCCATTTCTGAGTCGCGGCTATTCCCACGGTGTCGTTCATGGGATTGGACATTGATATCTTGATGAATCATGAAATGCTCTGGTTGAGAGGGGAAGGCCCCGGTCTGCAGAGATACTTACAAGATACCTGAGTCTAAGTACCTGATTTGCTTTCGCAACAGCGGTTCCAGAAATTATACTTTCCAGCCGAAGCCGTGCCAAAAGAGTGAGTACCGTAATGGATATCGTTTCCCACAATCAGGTTAAGTCTCTCTCAACGCTCGGCATATACGAGTACAACAACTTCGACGACGGGCACAACAGACACCAGCAACAATGGGTCAGCCACGGACAGCAATGCTGTTATCAATAATTGTATATCTACAAAGTGTGCTTGCTGATGACAGCTACGATGAAAACCCAGTGCTTGCCATGCAGCCTGCCTTCGCCAGCTCTCTGCCTGTCCAGATCCTTCTTAATGGCATCGTCCTTGCCCTCACCTGTGTTCTGCTTTTCCACCTGCTCTTTACAGCACAATATCACTGGCCACTCGCCCCACTCAACTATGCTCTCCAACTTTCTGGAGTGCTTTCACTCTTGATTTCGTTGATTGCGACACTGTTTGTAGTGCTAAGTAGTGCATTTATGGATACACAGGAATGGCCATACATGATCAACTATTTGGCAAAGGACATTCCACCGATTGCAAGCTTGAGTGGAAATAGCACAGATCTGAGTGTGACGGATTCGCTGACGTGGACGACGGCTGAGTTGGCAGGGTGGTGTAACCTCTGAGGTTACACACGTGACTTTAGTTAAGTATATAAAGGGCTATTTGTAGACACTTAGAGATTATCTTCGTACTTGCTCCTGTACTTAGGTTGACCTCTCAAATCCCAGGTCTTTGCCTGTTCTGTGTTCTTGAGTAAGGCTCTGGCCTTTACACTTTTTTTTGAACATTGCAAAATTTGGGGATTACCTCTCATCCACTACCTTTCACTCATGCCACCAGATTGTCAGCCTCCCCCCCCTGGCTTCCCCCCACATGTCCACTATCTCCTGCACACCTACAGTACCCTACAGTAATACTCTAGTTAATCACAAACTTTACAAATGCTATACTGAATTCCTGTTCACTCTTGAAGGCTCATAGAGAGAATATTACCACCTGCCAGCCCACCTTTGATCTCCCAACAGACCCTCATCAGATTGGTCCTGGGATTCTAGGAGAACATGTCAGGAAGATTGTATACAGTTGTGTTAGAGTCATACATGTTGTGCCTCATTGTGAGTCTTGTCAGTTGGCTACAAGTAAGATTCTGCCACTTAAATATATGCTTTCACTGTGCCACCCTCTCCCAGCAAACCCTCATCAGATTGGTCCCTGGATTCTAGGAGAAGGCATTAAGAAGAGTGTGTGTGGTTGTACTAGAGTTACATGTATTACACATTATTGTGAGTCTGGTCAGCTGTCTACAATTAAGGTTCTGCCACTCAAGAATATGCTTCACTGTGCCACTTCAAGCAGATTATCTACAGACTTGCTCTTGCTCATAACCTTTCTGCTACTCATTACAATCTTAAGCTAGTGTCTAGAAACAAGCTGTAGAAGCCCCTACTATCCTATTTCTCAAATCATTTGAGGAGAACACTATCTTGGTACTACTACTAAGATTAGGAGCTACTATACAATTACTCTACTAGAACACTGTCAAGAAACAAGCTACAGAAGGACCTACTGTCCTAGTCCTAAAATTGTGCAAGGAAGTACTATCTTAATACTACTACTAATATCTGGAACTGTAGCATAATTCTCTTCAGGAGCTACAGGTTCTATACTGACAGATAGTATCTACTTTTAGTACAATGGATGTTATGATTGAGCTGTCAACTACAGTGTATTTGTTGTATACTTGTTGTACCTACTGTAATGTGTATCTCTCTATTGTCAAAGTGTTTGTTAAGACTGTCTATTCCTTACTATACTATCTCTTGCTCTGTCACTGTCTAGTGTCTACTGTCATTGTCTACTATCTACTAAGAGTATAAAGTCCCTTTCCCTTCCCTTCCTGTTTCCTAGAGTATAAAGCCCCTTTTCCAGTTGTAGACCTAGTCAGAGTACCAAGCCCCTGCTAGTGTCAATTCTAGTCCCAAACATATAGGGCCTCTACTAGCATCACCTCCTGTTTCCTAGAGTATAAAGTCCCTTTTCTAGTTATAGACCTAGTCAGGGTACCAAGCCCCTATTAGTGTCAATCCTAGTCCTGAATGTCTAGGGCCTCTACTAGTGTTACCTCCAGTCCTGGACCTAGCCAGGGTATTAAGCCCCTACTAGTGTCATTCCTAGTCACAGACCTAGCTAGGGATTTGTTAAGATGAGACTACACAAGAGTATGTCTCAGATGATATAAACTACATTACAAGCAATGACAAACAATGATGGAATACCTTCCATCATACATTCTACATCTGAGACATACCTACATAGTATATATAGACTAACTAATCAACAGACAATGAAGCAAGCTACAAGAGAGTGAGCTGAGTCCACTATCCCCCCTCTTTGTGTGATCTCTCTAAGCCTCTCACATAACCTCTCTTCCCC